CTCCCCCCCCGCTGCCCGGCCGTGCTGCCCCCGCCGCCGGCAGCCACCCCGCGCCACCTACCCCAGCCATTCTCGTACGCCTGGAAGTCCGAGAACGGCTGGGGTGGGCGGCTTCAAGCGGCGGCGGCGGCTGCAGGGTGGGGAGGGGTCCCGAAGCCTTCCAGACACCCCAGACACCCTGCAGCCGCTGCCGCTTGAGCCCGCCGCCCAGCTGGGGGGAAAGGCCGGCCGGCTCTTGGGAAGGAGGGTGGAGGAGGTCCCCACACTCCTCCCGAAGAGCTCGCCGCCCAGTTGATCGGCGGTTCCAAAATGGCTGCCCGTTTGGTGCCTCGCTTACCGAGGCAGCGAAAATGGCAGCCCTATGGAAGATCTTCGCTGAACGGTGAGTTTTTGCCCCCTAGGAACGAATTAAACAGGGTTTAATTCGTTCCTATGGGGTTTTTTATTCCGTTCAGCAATGTTTTCGTATAGCGACGTTAATCCTGGAACGGATTAACGTCGCTATGCGGGGCACCACTGTATTTTAAATAAATAAAATAAATGAATATGTCTAGGAACCTGAAGGGCACTCACATCTTTCTCTTTCTCCTCTCATCAAATTTCAGATTTCCCTCCTATCCACCCCCTTTTCTGCTTCATGTCACCCCTAGCCTGCTTTTCTATTTGTAAAGTTCCAGACTATATTTACTCATTTCAAGCACTAAGTAAGGAGGCAGTGTTCTGAAACAGAAGTAGCCACCAGAGAAAGGGGTTAAACATGCTTCTTCATTCCAGGCCACCCTCTTGAAGTAGCAAGGAGATCCAGAGAGATGTGCAGTTCACAACTTTGCCTTTCTTTCTGCCCCTGAGGAGTTGCTCTTCCTCACTTTTTGTCCCTAAAATATGAAGCACTATAGTTGCTTTATACGCAGTGCTTGAGATGGGGTGGGGTTGGGTACCATTAGTTGTTACATAGATATAAAACACTGTAACTCTTTATGATAGGTATAAAACCATCCATGAATATCACATAAACCAGATTATACCAGCACTGTGAACAGTTACTTGACCCAGAGCAAATCTCCTTATAAAGCTAGGGAAGGCTGGCATTACAGCACCAGCTTCTTCTTCCACCCAATGAGTAAACCCTTGGTGTAGAGGCTAGAACTTCTAACCATAGCTAGCCCTCAGAATTTTGCTACCTTCTGTCCATCACTCCATCTATGGCCTAAATCCAATGGTTACTTCCAATATACTGTAACTACTGAAATGATGGAACTTAACGTAAGTGGCGAATTGCCAACTTTCTGTTGATTCAATCAGTCTACTCTAGTTCGAATGAACAATTGGATTTATACAAATTGCATAGCAAAGCCAGCTACGTAAGTATTTTTTGGCATCTGAGATAAAAGAATTTCAAAAGTACTTTTTCAACTTCATGGCAGTGCAGTCGAATCATGTTAAATAGAATAAACAACCAGATTCCGCCCTCTTATCACAGTCAGAAACAACTGCCTGGGGTGGTTACTTCTTCATCCCTAAAGACTGGCCTGCCCTCCCTTGAAAAAAAGCTGTTGCCTGAATAGTGCCCAGTGGTTGCTCTTGCTTCTTCTAGCTTCACAAGAAGCTCTAACCCAAGGCAAGTCTCTATAATAGAAATACGACATCTTAGTATGGAAAACTGTGTAGGTTACAAACAGGAGGATGTGCATACAAAGCCTGATGGGAAGCTGAGGCCAACAAAGATACAAGGCCTAAAACAACAGCTGGAAGTGTCTTTTATGGAATATGATGACATAAATGAAGAGAAATGAGCCACCCATTGGGTGTTAAGGAATCATATAAAAGTATGGAAGCAAGAATTAATTACCATGAAATATTATCACCTCTCGTAAGAAATTCTATGCTGTGAAAACCACTATGATATTCATAAGGTTTGCTAGTTCTCAACTGCACAATTTAAAGCATTAGATTATGGAAAGGAAATAAATTGCCATGTTAACTGCATTTGTAGCTTTGCCCCTGCAATAAGAAAATGGGTTTATATGAAAAACATTTTAAAGAATATGCCATACTTAAATTTCACGATTGTGTTGGCTGAAATCATGGTGCTTAGTGCAGTAAGTCACAACTAGAGAAAGCCCACTGAATCAATGGAACTTAGGGAGGATTTGATTCAACTTTCTAGTTGTGACTTATTAAACTAAGCAACAAAATTTCACCCATTGATTAATATGTAAGTCACATTAGGACATATGGCATTTATTAAATATTTGTACTTCATTTATTCTTATATATAACTTTTGAATAGCTGTTTGACCCTTACCTCTTCTGAGGACTAGTTCCATATTACATTTTATTGAATATGGTGAATGAAGCTGCTTCTATAAAAGATGCTGAGAAGGTTGAAGGTACATATTGTCCATGTAATTTGCTCTTGGGCAAAAAAACATTTTTTTAAAAAAAGAAACTGTAAACTGATGCCAGGTCTTCCAGCTTTAATTTAGCATTGAATTACAATTGAGCAAATGTTGATCAAGGGTGAACCATGTGTTGAAGACACAGTAGTGGAGCACACTGCCCTGAAATTCTAGCACTAAAAATCTAATTTGCTATATCTAGCATGACTAAAACTCTACAAATGACTCATTGTCATGGCATACTTTATAGAAGTCACAATCCAATGATTTCTGATAACACTGCACATTATGCCTTCTGAAAATCTCTCTTTTTATTCTGGAAGTGAAACAAACCTTCTTTTTTGTCATCCACAAAAATCTTCACTTTTGTATCTGTGATGTCTTTGAAAGAGGACAGAAACAGAACTACATCCCCTTTCTCATTCTTAATAGGGACAATGTCCAGCAGGCACCAAAATGAAGACCCTGTAAAATAAAAATAAAAAGCATAAATAGATAGATATATACATATTTGCCAAAGAACATGTTAGGAAAAAATAACCTTTAATTCAAGCAGAAATAATTTTTCATAGAAAATCAATTACAACCAGTACATTTAGGAGGGAGAAAAACCTAATTTAAAGGGCTAACAGTTAAAAAATCACAGATGTTCTGCTTCTGTAAATCTCTTTGCATCATCACTAGAGCTGTTGGAAAGCAACACATTAATTTAAATGAAGTATGTGTCTACCAGGGTCATTAATCCTCTAATGAAGTTCTTTACTTTTCTTACATCATATTTTCCTTTTACATTTGCCTGTTTCTTAATTTAAAGAAATACTTCAGCTCTGTTATTTGAAGTCTTCTTGTTTATTTTGCAATTCTATTATTTACATCTCCCTACCTTGTTGATTGGAGAAGTTGTAGCATTCCACTGCTTTTAAAACAGAAAACAGAGTACAGTTCCTTAAAATTCAGCAGCCAAATGCAGGGACACAAAAACTCATTAAATGCCTGAATTTATGCAGATAGTAGATACTCTTCTGTCTATGGAAATTACGTTGATAAATTGTTTTGATACTGTGTGTTAATTACACTATAGTAGCATGGCAGGATTGTTTAAATGTGCTTCAAAATGCATACAATTCCATTTGTTTAAAACCACTAATTTTGTAAATGATTGATTTAATATGCAGGCTAAGTCTTTTATAGTCATGACATTATTATTTAATGTGATTAATGCAAATACTGAGAAGCTTTTCATGAAGCTACTTTATGGAGAAAAATAAAACAAACCATCACCACCGGTTATTTCTTGCATTACTAGTTGAGTTGCATTACTTGTTGAGATCCGTTTTGTGTACATTCCAACAAGTTCAAGCAAACTTCATAATGGAATGCACATTAATTCTAGATTTTTTAAATATATATAAAGCAACCAACACTATTCATGATAAAATGTAACTAGATATTTATTAATATTTTTGAGCCTAAAATCTTTTCAGTTCTGTTGAGCCAGTTGTTTCTTTCTGTGGTGTTATGCTCCTAATTGTGAGAACTAAGCAGGAGGAATCACCCTGTTCTGGAAAAACAGTGGAGCTGTTACTGCAGATGCGCTGAACACAGATTCCGGGCCCTGAGATTATGCCAATTGCAGAAGAGACTGTTGAGAGAGGAACTGCTTCCCCTTAGGAAGCCACCGATTTAGATCTGGATGCCCACAACAGTTGGTTTAGAATAAAGAAGCCAGGTCATTGACTGTGATTTGTTGAACAGAACATGCAGGAAGAAACACTGGAGATGTTTCTTTTTTATGGAATTCAACCCCCCCCACCCCCCCAGAAAGCAATACTCTGATTCCCTCAGGCTGACTATCATAATGACTGCTGGCATCCCGGACCTCTAGTCCCAATGTTCACTTTTCTAAATTCTAAATAAAGGAACTTCATTGCCTACAAGACTCCTGGGGAAATTCAGAGATCTTTCTTTGTAACAGGCTGACCATCAACATAGCCTACAGAACACTGAAATATCCAATAGCCAGCAAACCTCACTGCAAAACAGAATAGTAAAACATTGTAAACAAAAACTGAATGTGATTTAATATGATAACTGTGGGAAAGAAGAAATATACCGAGATTTGGAAAATACAAATTTGTTGTATTTTAGCATACAGTGGTGACTTGGCTTATAAATGTCCCGACTTACGACCATTTTGAGTTGCAACCAGCTCTGGCCGCAAAATTTTGCTTTGACTTGTGGCCAGAGCTTCCAGTTACAAACAGAAAAAGGCAGGGGGGAAAAGCGGGAAATTCAAATTGCTAACCGTTGGTAGGTGAAGAGGCTGCTTCTTTGTAGCTCTTTCACCCAAACGGTTAGAGTAAGTGCAATCGGTAAGGTTAGACTGCCTGGTAAGGTAAAGTGCTGCTTTCTGCTTTTTAAAAACTGTTCTGGCTGGGTTTTGCAACGTGGTTTTGGGCTGGGGGGTTATGTTTCTGTGCTGTGATGGGGTTTTTTGTTGGTTGGTATTTTCCCCCAGTTCTGATGGGTCTTGTGGGGCTTGACTGCTTTTTGGAGCCCCCATTTCTGATGGGTCTTGGGGGGTTTCCTTGATTTTGGTTCCCCCCCCATTTCTGATGGGTCTTGTAGGGTTTGTTTGCTTTTGGGGTTTTCCCCTTTATTTCTGATGGGTCTTGGGGGGTTTGCTTGCTTTTTG